GGTGCGCGAGTCGGCGCGACACCCCGGCGACTACGTGCTGTGCGTGAGCTTCGGCCGCGAGGTCACCCACTACCGCGTGCTGCACCGCGGCGGCCGCCTCACCGTCGACGAGGCCGTGTGCTTCGGCAACCTCATGGACATGGTCGAGGTGCCGGGGCGCCCGGGGCGGGGCAGGAAGGTCCCCGTGGGCCTCTCCCGGCCCGGCAGACGGACACGGACCCCGGGGGAGGGTCCTCTCCAGCGCAGAGAGGGAGGGGGACCCCATGGAGCTAGGGGAACTCCAGGTTGACGTCGGTTCGGAGGAACCCCCCCATTCTCCGTTTCCTCCTTGCCGCTTCCCCTCCCGTTGCCACGGAAACCACCCCAACAAGGCCTGGCAACCAAACCCCTTCCCCCCACCCCTCGCCTCCAGTCCGCCCACTCAGCGACCCTCCTGGGCAGGGGAGGGGTGCGGAGCTGCCTGAACCGGGTGGGGCTCACGGCCCCTGCCGCCCCCCGCAGTATTACAGCCGGGACAAAGGAGCCATCTGTACCAAGCTGGTCAAGCCCAGGCGGAAGCAGGGCACCAGGTCTGCGGAGGAGGAGCTGGCCAAGGGTAGGGCCGTCCTGCCCCAGCGTCCTCATGTCTGTCCTGCAAATCCACCCACTCGGGCCTCCCCTCCTAGACCTGCCCCCTTGGCCTGAACCACCCACCCAACCCCCTCCAGGCTCTCCCTAGCCCTCAGGCCTCCATGCTGCGTATTCTGCCCGATCATCGCCCAAGAACACGTCCCCCGCCACCGCAGGGCCATCCCTCCAGTCCTTGTCTGTCCCCCCAGAGACACGTCTTTCCCAGGGAGATCTAGGCAGCTTGACAGCAGTGCCCAGTGGAGCCAGCGGCACCCTGTCTGACCACGTCCCAAGAGCTTGGGGCTCACAGTGGCTGCTCCGGGGAGGAAGAGTAGGACAACCAACTCGGGGAGGGGAGTGGAGGGGAGAGCTCAGGAGTGCTTGCCAGAAAGGTCCAGGGCAGAGCCCAGAAGATTCCAGAGCCTGCCTCGGTCTCCGTGTTTGCTGTAAAGTTGATCCCCGACTTAGGTGGGGTTCAGCTTCCACGTGTTTTTGTTTCCATCCACCTGTCAGAGAGGGAGGGACAGGGATGCAGCGTGACCGGGGCACGCATGCACGCATGCCCTGTGTGCTTTTCGAGCTGCTGGGGCCAGGATTCAAACCAGTCGGCCATGTGGGATCTGGGTCCCTTAACCACCAGGCCACAGGGCCAGACCTGGACTTAGTAATTCTCCTTACCATGAGCCCATATGAGTGTAACCCCACTGTAAGTTGAGAGGCGTCTGGGCTTATGACGGCTTGATGTATGGGTTTTCTTTCTCCTCTCCTCCCCTCCTCTTCCTTTTCTGAGGGAGAGATCTGCTATAGGGACACGTGCGCTCGCCAGAGAGACAGAAAGCAAGACATCTCTCCCCGGGGGGGATGGCCATGCCACAATCCCTTCTCCTCCATTCTCCTTTTGGGATTTTGGGCACGCACGCACATGTGCCTCGGTGTGCCTCGAACCACAGTAGACTACGTGGGAGTCCAGAGACATAACCGTGACGCCATCTGCTGGCCCCCGAATTATGTATTTTCAACCTCGTGGCGGGTGTTGGGGATCAAGGGCCCTTCCACCTCATGCTGTCTTTGAGCTCCAATGGTTTATCACGACATAGCCACGTGAGCTGAGAAGCAGCGGTACGCTCTGCTGTGTGTTCCCCGGGCGACGCAGGCACAGGGCTGCAGGAGGACCAGCTGAGGGGGTGTCGAGGGCCACGGGGTCCCCAGGTGCAGGAAAGGTCAGCCTCCATCGCCAAGCCTTCTGGTCTGAGCTGAGACCCCGGGCTCGGCCATTTAAACCATTGCACCTCCTGGAAACGGCTTGCTCGGGTCAGCCCAGGTAGTCCCGTGGCTTACAGCAGTCACTGGTACTAGGGCCAGAAGGTAGCATGGCAGTGAACGCGGCTGGATCCTACATGGGCAACTGTACAGTTCGAGTCCCAGACCCAGCAACTTGAAAATCACACCTGGTGCATGCGCGTGTGTGCCCCAAACCCGGGAGGAAGGTGGAGAAGAAGGGGTTGGGGCATGGCCATCCCCCCAGGGGGTGACTTTTCACTCTCCTCCCTCTTTCTTTTTTTTAAAATAATTATTTTATTTTATTTATTCATTCATTTATTTTTTAGTTTAAGCAGAGAGAGACAGAGGGTGAGAATGAGAGAGCTAGGAAGTGAGAAAGCAAGCCACCAGATTCAGGACTTGAACCCTCGTCAGCCATGTGGGTGCGTCCAGCGCCTTAACCACCACACCACCTGCTGGTCCCTCCTCCCTCTTTCTTTCGCAGCCTTCTCTGACCAGCACACACCCTCTAACAAAGGAATAAAAATCACTGACACCCAGAGTGGGGTGTCTGGGACACGCCCAAGGGTCCCTGCTGGGAACATGTCCACACCTGGAACTGCGTTTCTCAGCACAGGGAACCCCGATGGGAAGGGCTGGGGAGCTGTCACCCACTGACCGTCTCTCCCACAGCTGGTTGGCTACTGAACCTGCAGCATCTGACCCTGGGTGCGCAGATTGGAGAGGGGGAATTTGGAGGTGAGTAGGGCGGAAGGAAACAGGGCATACCTGGCCTTCGGAGCCTCAGAGCTGAACCCCTGCTCGCTGCGTGAGGCCTCTGAGCCTCGGTCTCCCCTCAGTGACGGGGACAGTGGTAGCTGTCCTGAGGGGTGTATTACCTAAGCAGGCGCCCCGTACATGTTCAAGTTCCTCCACACCTGTCAGGCTTCTTCCCTCTGCTCGAATGCCATGCCCTGACGTTATTATTCGGGAACGTTCTGGGGCTTCGATCAGGGTTCGGCAGATTTTGGAAAGGGCTGGAGTTTCGTAGCCCAGAGGGTCTGGCTTAGCCACAGCCCTGCCTCCTAGCAGGCAGTAGGTAGACAAGTCCCAGCGGCTGTGACAGCAGGGACATTTGAATTTCAAATAGCGCTCACATGTTGTCAAACAGTACTCGTCTTTTAATATTTTTAACCATTTGAAAATAGAGGGACCAGCAGATGGCGTAATGGTTACATGGCTGGACTCCATGTAGTCGACTGTGGTTTGAGTCCTGGACCTGGTGGCTTGAACCTCACGCCAGGTGTGTGCACGCGTGTGCGTGGGTGCCCAAGGTCCCAAGAGAATGGAGGACAAGGGATTGCGGTGTGGCCATTCCCCTGGCGGGGGTGGTTTCTTTCTTTCTGTCTCTCTCTCGCGCTCTGATGAGTGCATGCGCCCTATAGCAATAACTTTTTTTTTTTTTTGAGAGGATTTCGCTATAGGGCACATGTGCTCACCAGAAAGACAGAGAGAGAGAGACAGAAAGCGAGAAATCACCCCCCAGGGAGGATGGCCATACTGCAAACCCTTCTCCTCCATGTTCTTCTTGGGATCTTGGGCATGCATGCACACGTGCCCAGCGTGAGTTTAAGCCACTGGGTCCGGGACTGGACCTGCAGTAGACTCCATAGGAGTCCAGTGCCTTAACCACTATGCCACCTGCTGGTCCCATAACAACAATTTCTCTACCAAAAAAAAGAAAAGAAAACCCATCCTGAGCTCACCAGCCTTGCAAAACCAGGCAGCAGGACCGGACTTGGGGAGGTGCCTGCAGACCCTGACTTGGTGGGTTCTCTTGGGTCCTGGGTCTGGAGCATGCAGGAGCAGGGTTCAGGGTGTCTTGAGGTCTGGGGCTCAAAGCAGTGCATTCGGGATCAGGGCGCGGACATGGCCATTTATCCGCCCCTTTCAGTCGGGGTCCTGACGCTCTCCCTACCTCCAGCCGTCCTGCAGGGCGAGTACCTGGGGCAGAAGGTGGCGGTGAAGAACATCAAGTGCGACGTGACGGCCCAGGCCTTCCTGGATGAGACAGCGGTCATGACGTGAGTGCCGACTGGGACAGGGCCCTGGGGTCGGGACGGCCCTCTCTCATCCCCTACCGGCGCCGCCCTCATCTCCCCACCGGCTCCAACCTCATCCCTCCCCG